AGGGCTCTGCTTCACACGGTGGCTGGGAGGAGAGTGTTGGAGAGCAGAGGTGCCTCAGTGACATTACATTCCAAAGGTTAGAGATGTCCAGTGCTCTCCCTGGTTTCCATTAATTACATGCCATGGATCTACCATTTATGACTCTATCTAAAACCTTTTAAGCTCATATAAATTAATGGGTTGTGAAACCTTTTGGTTACGATTCACTGTATAAAGTAATGCTTTGATTTATTCCAATATTACCTTTTTCAGATTTTGAAAGCTCTATTTGTTTGTAAATTTTCCTCCTTACTCCTCCTCCCCTTCCTTCAGGCTTCTTACTTTTTAATCATTTAACTATAGATTTGAGCCCATTCTCCCATTAACTTTTGTGGTAATTTTATTCTTGTGGCTGATTCTGAGTGAGAGACCACATTTACCAACTACAGTAAGTCAATCTGTGTGGTTTCTGTGATGAAGCATTTGCGAAGCCATGAATTACAGCCTATAGATAATATTATTCTTTTTGCAGTGACTGGATTTGGTGTTTTAGTCCAGGATCATTGTTGACCATTAGCAAGATAGATTGGCAGAACTCATGAATAGGTTATATATATATATATTTTGTTTGTAAGGTTCCTTTCTCTCTTGGAAATCCATCAACATTTATAGGCATCCTTGCTGGTAGGTATCATAATGAGGCTTGTTTGTAAGATTTCATTGGTAGAACACGGGATCCAAGAATAAGTAAATCCTGCTATCAACCAAGGCCACTTGTCCTTAGAAATTTTCTAGGGCAGAAAATACATGAAAGGTATACTGCCCAATGCTCAGGCAAGCTGGATTCAGCTTGGGCCAGGCCTTAGGAAAACTTCTCTATTCCCAAGATCAGATTTTACCACCAGTTAGTTGTGTGGCAAGAAAAGTGGCCAGAATATTCAGGAGCAGGCCCGGAATGGATTTGTGCTCCAACCTCATGGGCTCATAAAGAAAGAAGACACACAAAATGATGTATGTATCCCTTTAAGGCACAGTGACCCTGCGTATTAGCAAGCATGACCCAACTCCTGTTCTAGAATTGTAGAGCTGGAGAGAAGTGGGGTTTGAGGCTGAAGGGGCTTTCTTCCAACCTCACCCATAAGAAGCATTCAGTCATAATTCAGCCATTGTAGAACACATTATAATTTGTGACTTAATGTGCATTATCTTTTTAAAGCCTTTACGCTCTGAAGTATATGAACATTATTATTTTATGTATGAGAAAACTGAGAGTCAAAGCAATTATATGTCTTGCCCATGAATTATGCAGTTGGTAAGAGGTGCGGTGATCTTCTGTTATATTATGACCACTCAGTATTATAATCGGGATAGATAGCTTCTGAATATCTAATTTTATTTTCTTTCCAATAAGATAACAGTGCTGTTGTAGAAGTCATTTACAATTACTCTAAGGGGAGCTTGCATTCTGTCTAAGCAATTTGAAGTTCCAAAAATTTTTTTATCTTCCTATTATATATTTCTGGAGGGTATCCAAAAAAATGTGTAAAATTACTATATAGGTATATGGTTTCTAAAGCCTGATGATCACCATTTCTAAATCCTACTTTCCTTCAAATTCCGTTAACCATTCAGAGACTACTTTGAGCCTCAGCCATCTGGAGTCAGGCTGCTGATAAAGACACTCAACATTTACATGTAAAACAGCTGAGCAAACCAACGAACGTGCCATTCTCATAGACTATGTGGAAGCATTGACTTAGTATGGTTTAGACAACTTCAGATAGAAATACTTTCATTGGAAGGATGGATAATACATTTTAGACATCCTTTATAGTTCATTTTGAAATATTTTTTATTAATTGCTGCATTTTACCACTTCAGATATGTGTTCTGTCACATATATTCAGTTTAATAAACTTAAAATTGAAGAATATGAGTGAAACAATGTAAGAAATAAAAATAATTTTTAAGAAAGTAGTCAGATTGTAATAATCTGGGTTTTTTTTTTTTTTTTCTTGAAGTGCCTCTGTTAGGACAGGTAATTTTACCATTGAGAGGGTTAAATTAGTGAAGAAAAATTATGGAATTTTTAGAGCTTATTTGAAAAGTTGCTTATTTTTATCTTCTCTTTAGAATTTTCACTGAGGCTTTTGTTGTATTTTTTATTAGGTGGTATTATTATATCAATTTCCAAGACGGTTTTTTAATTTAAGTTGTAGCTTATTTTTGATTCCTATTAGAGTTAATTTTTCAAAAATTTTATCTTAATTGCTTGTTGTATTATAGATGCTTTCTTTTTTAAAATGTTTTTCTGTTGGCCATTTGTGGATATTGTGTTTTAGTTTATTGAACCATAGAACCTGACATTTACTAACAGGAGTAAAATGGTTTTTCTTTTCTTTCTTTTTAAGTCTGAAACATTTAGTTAGCTTAATTGCCTTTATCTTAACCTTTTTTCCCTGTTTTTAATATTTTATACTAGAGACTCTTTAGATTAAAAATAAGTCAATTAAAAAAACCTAGTTGATTTAAAAAGTTCACCTGTCTGTAAAAAATATGAACAGTATTAAAATAGTGTCTTATTTTTTGGAGGGCAAGAAAGGTGCCTTTAACTGAGTAATTCTAGTTTCCGTGTAACTCCTTCAAGAGATTTTCATGAGATACTCATGAGCTCTGGAGTTCAGGCTTTGGCAGAAGCAATGGCTTTTCAGTGCTGTCTTACAGGTAGGCTTGGAGGCTTCCTCTGTGAGTCTGGCTCTGAGATTATGGAATTAGAATCTGTCATTTAATTCTGAGATTCTCTTGCTTAATTTACTGTTATAATGACAATGAAAATTTTCTTTTTTTTTAAAATAAAAGATAGAAATATTGTAATGCAGATTGGGCAGTCTTCGGCAAACTATTTCATTTCTTAGTTTCTAGAGTTCTAGTTGCTTATGTTTAGTGTTATCATACCATGACTCTGTAATTTCTGGCTGTGATATGGCATTAATGTTGAATCCTCTAGATTTTTTGGATTTTGCTATCAACTATACTCTTCCTGTTGTATATTTTCTAGATTGATACAATCAGGGGTAGATTTCCCATGTAGGTAATGAATCTTAATCTTCAGGGGCCCTCACTTGAGTGGATGTCTTCCAAAGCTCTGTACCTAATTTTTTTTTTTATAATTTTATATTATTTTCTCTAAAAAGAGCCCCTAAGCATAAATGAGCTTTAGGCTCTACCTCATTTGGATTAGCTTCTGGCCGATATGTGAACTCACTGAAAGTGGAAGAAAAACAATAAGATATACTTGAACCTTCAAAAACTTATTCAAGTTATCTAGCAGTGGCACATCTTCTTTTCTAGTGGGAAAAAGGTTCTGAACACTTATGCTAGCCAATAGAACTATGTATCTAATACCAGATGCAAAAGTGATGATCGTGAAAGCATCAAGAATAGAGTTTTAGAGGCTTATAGTCCTTGATTGAGTTCTGTTTTGTAGATTATCAGACTTTTGGTGAGGTTTTCTTAGAAAAAAACAGGTAATTTCAAATGTTGGGAAATTTTTGTGGCATGTAAAATCACATTCTTTAATCAATGTTTTATATGTTCCCTTACCCTTGGCAGCAGTGTATGTCTTCCTCAATTTCTCAGCATTATTTTTCTCCCATTAGCCATACCTGCACCATCTTAAGAAAATCCTCATAACTGATAAGAATATGGATGCATTATATGTGTAATATGGACTCTTCACACTTCCTTTTGTGTGGGAGGATAAAAAAGACCATGCAACATGAAAGCATGCAATGTGAACTTAAAACTCTGGAAAAATTTATGATTATTCTGTGACCTTTAACAATGTCTATCAAAACATTAAAACCTCTCTTACTCTTGACCATAAATGCAGAGAAAGGCAAATAATAGTAAAACTCATATTTAGCACACTGTGATTTAGAACTTAAACATTGAGAAAGCATTTCTTCGTTAAAAACTGTTACAAGTAATTTGAATTATACTTGCCTTTTCATAACATAGCATGACATGAAGAGAGCATTTTGTTCCTACACCTTCATAAGTCTGCATCAACCACAACTCTTTTATTCCTGTACTCTCGCTATTGTGAACTTCTCCTATGGCTTTTTTAACGTGAAACTTTTTTTACTGGCATCACTTCCTCTGGGAAACCTTGATCCTCCTTGTCATAATCACTTTACTGGTTTATGTTGATAAGTTCACCTCCCTAAGTTCCTCTGGCTGCATATCTAGAGTCTCTCAAATGACAGCAGTGTTAACATTCCCACAGTTATGTGTTTCATCTATACGTTCATTTATGTTCAATTTGAACATCCCTTCCAGCATTACCATTTTTTATTTCTTTGTGGGACTTTAATCTTTGATGGCTAATTCCTGCTTTTAGTTATCCAGTTTTGTAAAATGTTGTGTGGGTTTATTGCTGAGAGCCAAGGAGGCAACACAACTACAGCTTTGAGTCTATGCATGAACTGAATAACAGATGCACTGTGACCAAGACAGAGTGGCTTTGAAAGAAGTGATGTTATTGGTTACTGTGATGTGTATCTATTATTTACTAGTGATTTGTAGGCTGAGGAGCTAACAGCAAAGTTCATACTTTATGCAGTTATTTACAGTTTATATATTATAAATGAAATTTGAACTGTGCTATTGGAAACTGGTGTTAACTAAACCATAGTAACTAAAATTCATGCCTATAGGAAGTATGTAAATTGATGTCTCGCTCTCTCTTTCTCTCTCTCTCTCTCTCTCTCTATATATATATATATATATATATATATATGTTCAAACATATATATGTTTGAAATAACTTCTAAATCTAGCTTTTAGCAAAAAGTTTAGGAATCATGATTAAAACATCGTTTCATTAATTTAGTTTATTTTGTGGGAGCAACATTTAATTTTATAACTAAATTTGAATACTCAATCAAAAGAGACAGCAACATGGTTTTATGTAAGCATTTGAAAAGCAACCTGAAATATATTGTTTGTTTTTTTCCCAGTTTTATGTATGGAGAATTGACTGACAAGAAGACCATTGAGAAAGTCAGACAGACTTTTGACAACTACGAATCAAACTGCTTTGAAGTTCTTCTATACAAGAAAAACAGTATGTATCTAAATTATCAATAAGATTTGTCAACTCTGATTAATATTATGTTTTGGTTAGTGGTAGTTGAGCTACAATGTAGAGAGAATATCAAACTTTGTTCCTTCTCTTGCAAAGGCAGGGGGTGCTGATAAAATTAGATAGCAAAACTAATAAATGATTCCACTTATAAAAGCAACCTTTTGAGGAATAGCAGGACAATATAGACACCTGCTAAGCATGGAAGCCAACATGGAGCTGGATCTCATGACCCCTTAGATCACGACCTGAGCTGAAATCAAGAGTCAGACACTCAAGCGACTATGCTACCCAGGTAACCCAAAACCAATTATCTTTAGTGGAAATTGATGGTTATTAAATTCTTCCTCATTTAGGGAAGCATTTTAGCTTCAACAGGAAGCACTTGCTTCATTTCAGAGCTAGTTGGATTTTTTACAGCATAATTCATCCTCTCCATCTTACTCAAACATTTATTCACTATAAAATATTTAGAACTGAACTTAGGTTTCTCTTTTTATTAATAGACCATCAAAGGGATAATCACAACCACAGGCATTGGTTTAAAATTAGTGCAATGGGAGCATTGGTCTTTAGTGGTTTTTCCCTATGGGATGTCTTATCATTATATATATATATATATATATATATATTTAAGATTTATTTATTTGAAAGAGAGAGAGAGAGAGCACAAGCACAAGAGGGTGGAGGAAACAGACTCCCTGCTGAACAGGAAGCCCAACACAGGGCTTAATCCTATGACCCTGGAATCTTGAGCATAGCTGAAGGCAGATGCTTAACTGACTGGGCCACCCCTATCTTTCATTTTAGAATCAAGGCCAAAGAGGTATTTCTCTTTAGTCATAGCCAAATGTGTGTTGGCTTGTCACCTAGCAAACAATCCATTCTGAATGATCTGCTCTGTCCTCTACCAGAGAAAAGTCAAGCTTGAGACCCTCTGGGTCTTTCTCATGAGCTCCAGATACATATTGATAATTTTTAGTAAGACTTATATGTTAAGACTCCTATCCTCTTCATATAGGGTTGTTATTCTTTTAATGACTTAGATATGTGCCTGGAGTTTAGCAAATAATTTAAGGCTATTCCATATTACTAAAGTCATTACATTCTAAAACTAAGAATAAACAAATCTTTGCCTGATTTTAAAGCAAGAGATCTAAGTTTCTCAAATATAGCTTTGTGGAGATTCTGTTTTCCTTAAATCCTTTAACTCATATTAATGAAAACTTGCATTTTACATTTCCAGAAGTTTTCTTCCAAGGTAGTATTTTGCATTATTTTAATGTTTTGAAATTTTCTTACTTGCATTGAGTTTTTTTCATTAATATGAAGGATAGATATCATTTATGCATTTTAGTGGAGTTCTACTACAATTAAAGGAGCTTTAAAAAAAATCTTATAAATTGTTACCTGAAGGTTCTTGAACATCAACTAAAAAAAGTATGTTCTTGTAACTTTTTAAAATGTTAGGTAGAGAAATTCACATGTCTGTAGATAAATGTTTTGGGAATGCCTGAATGCCAAGTCTTCCTAACACTTCCATTAAGTAATTAGGTTAAATAGCATTTTGCAAATGGAGGGATTGATTTAAGTGTCATCATTGACACTTCAGCTTGTAGGCTCTATTTTTAAGGTCCTTTGCTCTGATTAGCAGAGAACTGTTTCTATTGTTGAGGAGGAAACAGTAGTTCTGGGGTGATGATTTAAATGGATCTTTCTGTCTGCACAAAGGCACACCTGTGATAGCCTGGGCCGCCCCAGATAATCAATGCCAAGGCACTGCCCTGAGTTTCCATCTACAACTGACCTCTCTGCCTAACCCTTTCAGATATGCACTATACCTTGATATCTGAAAGCAGTTTTAAAAACAGCCCTGACTCTGCTAAAATTTGAAAAGTTACTCTTTTCATAGAAGGCGTGAAACATAACATCATCTCTTTCTGTTCAGATTTTTAACAGACCTTGGAAAATGACTTATTTTTAATGCCCTTTTCTCTGTTTATGATCCTGCTGCCTCAAGCTCACTGTGTTGGAACAGCCATCGGCCATGTGTCTGCTAGCCTGCGTATCTGGTGATTTGTAAAACTGCCTATATCATTCACAGTTCTTTGGTACATTGTGTAGAATAAGGAGAAGAAAACAAAGAACAGGCCTCTCTGGTATATTGTGTGATGTTTTTGAGATCCTTGTTTCACCCAATGATCATTTTGGAAAGGGCCATGTTTTCATAAGCCCCAGGGTTGAAAAGGATGTGGTTGTCAGAACGGAAGATTCCATAAACACCTCTTCTAATTCTCTGACCTCTTGAACTTGGTAGTTAAGCCATCTCTTCTTGTCTAGATGACAAATTCCTCATTGTGGTGATATTATTCTGTGATTTTTTTTGGGGGGGGGCGGCCAAAGGTATGAAGGTTTTTCTAATTTGATTTTCACTGCACCACTAACAGGCTATCAACTCTCACGTAGAGACTATTAATAGCTGCGTATTTCACTCCCCAAATCCCAAACCTAACAAAAGACTTTATGTCTTTAAGAAAGAAAATTTGGAGAGGTTTTACTGCAATATGGCTTGGAAAGAATATAATGGAAAATGTGTCTTTTTGATTCTGATGGAACATTCCTTCAGTGTTTTATCATTTAATGGATAATTACTCCTTTGAAGGCATTTCTGTGTCTTCAAATATTTATTGTTTGAAATAATGCCAGTTCCTGGTTTGTCCAAATCCAAAGCCTTAAGTGCTCTGAAACTCTGTTTTCTGGAGTCTGCAGGAGCCATTGTTTAAAGACCATAGTGACAGAGTCAGGTCTCCTTCTTTGAGTGAAGAAGATAGGAAGCAGTGGCTGGCTCACAAAGACACCTGAGAATCTCAAGATCTGAGGACACATCTTTTTTTTTTTTCCCTGTAAGATTGCCTTAAAAGCTTCAGGTAGCCCTGTGTAGAGCAGACATCAAATGTTGCTGACATCCTCTCTCTCTGATGTCAAAGGTATAGAGCTGTCTTATAACTCTGACTGATGAGAGAGCCTTGAGGTAGGAATAGTGATTTCAAATGTTCTTCCAAGAGGAATGCTTATCAGAGCATCAGGGGACTGCTGTTGAAGTCAATAGGAAACATTTCTCACGGTGGCAAGAAGAGAGCAGCATGTAGGAGTGGTCGTGCATAGTGAAATTACAAAACAGAAGTTGGTGAGAGCAGCAGAGGTGTAGGGACACAGACCTAAAGGTAATGCTGGTGTTACTTGAGTAGTGACACTCCCCTTGTGCTCCTGTGTTGTGAAATGTTACCCTCAGATTTACTTTCACATTTTGATATTTTGGGTTGAAAAATGTTTATTAATATTTGAGCAACTGGTAATTGATAAAAAAGAGTTTTTTTTAAATTCTGAAAGCAATTAAAATACTGTTGTTTTGATGTTGGTTCCTGGCATAGCAGTTGGCAACTTAAAGAAAGGGAAAGCAGGAGAACAAATCATTGCTGTGGCTATGTCACACTCTGTTGTTCTTTCTCTTACAGGAACCCCTGTTTGGTTTTATATGCAAATTGCACCAATAAGAAATGAACATGAAAAAGTAGTCTTGTTCCTATGTACTTTCAAGGATATTACTTTGTTCAAACAGCCAATAGAGGATGATTCAACAAAAGGTAATTTCTTTTCTTTTTCCTTTCCTTTCCTTTCCTTTCCTTTCCTTTCCTTTCCTTTCCTTTCCTTTCCTTTCCTTTCCTTTCCTCTTTTCTTTTCTTTCTTTTCTTTTCTTTTCTTTTCTTTTCTTTTCTTTTCTTTTCTTTTCTTTTCTTTCTTTTCTCTTTCTCTTTCTTTTTTTTTGAGAGAGAGAGCAGGGGGAGGGGGAGAGGGAGAGAGAGATTCCTAAGCAGTCTCCATGCCCAGTGTGGAGCTGTCACAGGGCTTGATCTCATGAGTCTGGAATCATGACCTGAGCTGAGATCAAGAGTTGATCACTCTAACTGAGCCACCCAGGCGCCCCCACAAAAGGTAACTTTCAGAGATATGGCCACACTTAAGCATTAAGCTGTCAATTAAATATATTATTATTTAAGAAAATACATAGGTTGAACTGGAAAACAAAATTTTACTATGTAGTACTTCTTTTGCTCTACATTCATGCTAGAAATTACCCAGAATCCATTTTATTCAGTTATATTATTTGAATGGAAATAGCATGGCTATCCAAAGTAGAAATAATAGTTGGTTAACTTAAATTATAGTAAGAGGAATTGGAAATAAGACATAAGTAAGAAATGTCATACAGCATTATTAATTTAGAATCAATAAAATGGGAGTTTTGACAACTTCTACCAGGATAAGCTTTAGAAACACAAAATATAACAATGTATGAGATGGTTTTGGGTGAAGTGTCTTTACAGCACAGTTGATCAGTTGACTGAATTTTGTTGGATTGATTAGAGGTAGGTTAGTTGACCTTTTCAGGTTACTTTTCACCATTTAATTATTCAGCTATTATAGATTCTCTTGGGTAGATGCTATTAGATTATGTGAAGAATAATTTTGTTATCAAGAGAGTGGTTGGCTGGGTGCCTGGGTGGATCAGTTGGTTAAGCGTCTGCCTTCAGCTCAAGTCATGATCCTGGGGTCCTGGGATTGAATCCCACATAGGGCTCCCTGATCAGCAGAGAGCTTGCTTCTCCCTGTGTCTCTGCCTCCCTCTCTGTCTCTCATGAATGAATAAATAAAATCTTAAAAAAAAGAAAGAGAGAGAGAGAGAGTGGTTGGCAAAATGCAAACATCCTGACTACAGTCTTACTGACTTTATTTTATTTATTTATTTATTTTTAAGAATTTATTTATTTATTCATGAGAGACACACACGGGGGGGGGGGCAAAGACACAGACAGAGGGAGAAGCAGGCTCCATGCAGGGAGCCCAATGTGGGACTCAATCCTGGGTCTCCATGATCACACCCTGGGCTGCAGGCGGTGCTACACCGCTGTGCCACTGGGGCTGCCGATTGACTTTAATATTAAGGAAGAGAGTTATAGAAAGCAGTAGTCAGTGGGATATGCTTTTATCTCCTTTTCCATATAATTTACACTCATTTTATTCTCTCCAATTATGTTTAAATTAAAAACTGGTGTTTGGATGAATGAATAAAGAAGATGTGGTATATATATATATATATATGATGGAATACTACTAAGCCATCAAAGAAATGAAATTTTGCCATTTGCAATATTGTGGATGAAAATAGAGGGTATTATGCTAAGCAAAATAAGTTAATCAGAGAAAGACAATTATCACATGATCTCTCTAATATGTGGAATTTAAGAAACAAAACAGAGGATCATAGGGGAAAGAGAAGAAATAAAAAACAAGATGAAATCAGAAAGGGAGACAAAACCATAGGAGACTCTTAATCATAGGAAACAAACTGAGAGTCCCTGGAGGGGAGGGTGATGGGGGGATGGGGTAACTGGGTGATGGGCATTAAGGAGGGCACGTGGTATAATGAGCACTGGGAATTGTAAAGGTCTACTGAATTGCTGACCTCTACCTGTGGAACTAATACATTATATGTTAATTAATTGAATAAAAAAATTAAAAAATTAAAAAATTAAAACTGGTGTCTGATAAATGAAGAATTTCAAATACTCTTAGATTTTGTGACATGTTATTTTTAATAATTTTTTAGGAGACCAAAAATGAAATCTTCCTCTTTACATTTGGCATTGCCTTTTACCTCTTTTTAAAAAATGGCACAAAAGTTTAATTTTTGCAACTATAATCATAATTATAGAAAAATTTTGTATGTTTATTTCTTGCATATGAATTCACATATGTTATACTTGGTCAGTATTTGGTTAGCATCAAATTGTAAGAGGAAAATTTTATAATGTGCAAACCATGTAAAGTATAACATGGAACAATTTATTTGTGAATGTTTCTGAAAATGTGTATATTAAATCATCTCCTAGAAGATCAAATATTCACTTTTGGGTTCATTCTACCTGTTCCTGTACCTTTACTCATAGACCCAGTATTTAGAAAGTTTAGGATGAATTTAACTGCTGTTTTAAAAAATAGAACAGTCTTCTAATAGTATTTAGGTTTAATGCTTGTTTATTTGTTTTAAAATTCCAGGTGCTCCATCCAATAGCAACAGAATATGTGTTCTCAAGCTTACTGGAACATACAATAGATAGATCACATTCTGGCCATAAAACACACTTTGACCAATTTAAAAGAATAGAAATATTAAAAGGCATGTTCTTAGACCACAGTGGAATTAAACTAGAAATCAGTCACAGAAAGATAACTAAGAAATCTCCAAATATTTAGAAATTAACACATTTCTAAATAGCTCATGGGTCAAAGAAGCCTTACGATAAATTAGAAAAATATTTTGACCAACTGAAAATACAAATTATCAAATTTATGGGATATAGCAAAAGTCGTGGTTAAAGTGAAATGTATGTAACATTAAATGCATATGTGAGAAGAGAAGAAAGATATAAAATTAAAAACCTAAGCTTCTACCTTAGGGGGAGACAAAGAAGAGCAATTTAAGTGAAAGCAAGCTGAAGGCAAGAAATAAGAAACTTTAGAGCAGAAATCAATGAACTAGAAAATAGGAAAACATTAGAGAAAATCGCCACAACTCAAGCTGGTTCTTTAAAAAGATCATCAAAGTTAATAAACCTCTAGCCAGGCTAACCCAGAACAAAGGGAGAAGATGCTGACTACCAATATCAGAAGTTAAAGAAGGGCCATCACAACTCATCCCAAGGATTAAAGCATATGGAGGAATACTTTGATCAGCTCTATAGCCACTGAATCGATAATTTAGGGGAAATGGACCACTCCTTTGAAAAACAAACTGCCAGAACTCACACTAGGAGAAATAGACCACCTAAATCATCCTACATCTGTTAAAAAGTTTAATCGATAATTAATAAACTTACAAAACAAAGAAACACCTGGTATGGATGTTTTTGCTTTTATTTTTGGCAAATCTACAGTCTTTTTCAGAAAATAGAAGCAGAAAGAACTCTCCTAACTCATTCTATGAGACTAGCACTACCCTAATACCAAAATCAGAAAAAGACATTGCTATAACAGACCAATATTTCTCATGAATATTCATATAGAAATACTCAACAAAAATTGAATCCACATGGCAGCCAAGTGGTATCTATTCCACATATGCAAAGCTGGTTTAACATGAAAAAAAAAATCAATCACTGTAATCTACCATTTCAACAGGCTAAAAAGGAAAGATCATATCATCATATCACTTGACATTAAAACAAGCTTTTGACAAAACCCAGCACCCATTCATGGTAAGAATTCTTAGCAAGGTAGGAATGGATAGGAACTTCCTCAACTTGATAAGGAACATCTGTGAAAAATCTACAGTTAAGAGCTGACTATATCTTAAAGTAATATGTTTTTCAATAAAAGATAAATAATTGTTAAATAATTTGTGACTTAACATATTCTTCAGGTGAATTTCTCATGCTTTCATGTTGAATGACAACAATACTAAATAAAAAGCTTTCATGTCAAAGTCTTTTCCCTTAAGTAACATTTATGTTTATTTTAAAGTTTTTATTTATTTATTTATTCATTCATGAGAAACACAGAAAAAGAGAGAGAGAGAGAGAGAGAGAGAGAGAGAGAGGCAGAGACCTAGGCAGAGGGAGAAGCAGGCTCCATGCAAGAAGTCCGATGTGGGACTCAATCCTAGGAATCCAGGGTCAGGCCCTGAGCCAAAGGCAGACGCTCAACTGCTGAGCCACCCAGGCATCCCATATATTTATGTTTATATTTGATGAATATTATTGTCTAAGTGATTTCATGACACAGCTGAAGTTAGGGAGAGTATAGTACAATCTCAGTTTTGATATGCTAAACATTGATGGTGTAGTATGTAATCTATTTATGGAAACTGACAGTTGACAGCATTTTATAGTGAGATTGGGGAAAAGGTGCTAATATTAGGAGGTGACTTTTATTTCTCAAGTTAATGCCCTTCCATTTATCTGCCTACACCTCCATCTCTGTATCCTTATATCAGAACCTCAGAATTTTTCAGGTAAAAATTTCTTAAATGTGTAACTCATTCTTAAAAGACTCCAAACAACTCAGGCCATTTAGTTTTGAACTATGTGCTTGATAGGCATGTAAATTAGAATTTACAGGGAAAATCAGTCCCCATTGTGTAAAGTATTAGAGGAGACTATCTCTTTCCAGAGCCAGAATTTGTAGAGGAAGAGCTTGCTTGCTTATTTATTTATTTACTTACTTACTTATTTCATTTTATTTATTCATAGCGACACAGAGGGGCAGAAACATAGAGGGAGAAGCAGGCTCCTCACAGGGAGCCTGATGTGGGACTCGATTCCAGACCCTGGGATCAGGCCCTGAGCCAAAGGTAGATGCTCAACAGCTGAGCCACCCAGGCATCCCAAGGAAGAGCTTACTTTAAACAGACTTTTTTTTTTCTTTTTTTAAATATTTATTTATTCATGAGAGACAGAGAGAGGCAGAGGCTTAGGCAGAGAGAGAAGCAGGATCCCTTCAGGGAACCCGATGTGGGACTCAATCCCAGATCCTGGGATCATGCCCTGAGCTGAAGACAGATGCTCAACCACTGAGCCATCCAGGT